ATGGATAACCACAGGAAAAAATAAAGGGCACTCCAAAATTGTTCAGGTGGTACACAATGATGAGTTGGACCTGCCTTCAGATCACATGTCCAAAAAATACTCCTTTGGAAAGCCTTTCAAAGTACTAATACCAGATAGGAAGGATTGGTCTGGCGGAAAAGAACCCATACCCCCAGGTGATTTAGAATGCTACACTGATGGTTCTAAGATAAAAAATGGGGGCACTGGAGCAGGTGTGCATTGGATAAATGAAGGCACTGGCATTTGTCTTCCCATGGACGCGCACCCAACCGTTTTTCAAGCGGAGGTCACTGCTATCTTGGTTTGTGCTCGTGAACATCTTAACAAAGAGATCAGAGACAAAATAATCAATATCTACACTGATAGTCAAGCGACCTTAAAAGCACTAAACTCTTACGAATTCAACACTAGGCTCGTGTGGGATTGTCTTGCTTCTGTGTCTGAGTTGGGTAGGAGAAATGATCTTACGCTTTGCTGTGTGCCAGGACACTCAGGCATAAAAGGTAATGAAGCTGCAGATAGATTGGCAAACACTGCCTCTGCGACAACTATGATAGGCCCACAACCCTTCTGTGGCATCTCACGAAACAGCGCATGTTCTGCGATTGCGTCATGGGCCAAGGAAAAGCATCGCAAACGCTGGGTCGACGCTCCCCTTCTCAGGGTCAGCAAGCTTACTCGGTTTAGGCCTTCCAAAAAGGTTGCCTCTGACCTCTTGAGGCTAGACACAAGAAGAATTAAATTAACTGTTGAACTGATAACTGGTCATGGGCGATTCAGGAAACATTTACAACGGATGGGCTTAGGCCTATATGATGGTGAACCGATCTGTAGGTACTGTGATAATTCAGAAGAGACAGCTGATAACTTACTCTTTGATTGTAACGAGCTCTCTGACGCTAGACTGATTTAATTCTTGGGAATATGGCTAGAGGAAGATATCTTCCTGAGGATGAACTAATTGGGAAACTACAGGCATTCATTGGGTGCCATAACTTGTAATTGTCTGGGGTGCGAAATAATTTGATTTCGGATGAAGTGCTTTAAGGTCTCGACCTGCCCCTGTTAGATAAGATTTAAGATCATGAAAGATTGCCAAAATTAAAATCTTTTCGTAAGTATTCTACCAAAAAAAGTAATAAATTGATGTTCAATAGAGTTTGTGCGTTTCTTCGTGAAGCCTGGGTTTAAGGGGCTGTAGTGGCAAGTGGGGAGCCGAGCGCGAGAGGGCAAGTTGACGTCGTCGTCCTATTCTGCTACTAGTCTGACTAGAGACATTTCTCTGCATTTTTCGGAGTTCAAACATTTGGAAAGTTCATTAAAAGAAGAGACCTCTACATCAGAATTTGAATTAGGCTACAGTACCTAATATTTTTATTTTGATGTCATCGGCAAATAAACAAACACTATTGGCTCTAGTTTTTAAAGAAGTAAGTTAAATCATGTGAAATGCTAGCAAAGGCTTTTGTTAAGTCCAAGAATTTTCCAACCACTTTCTCGTTTGAATCAGTGGAATTAATTATAGATTCACAGAAATAAACTCCTGCATCAATGCAATGACATACCTACCATACTGTTGACCATCCTTCTCTAAAACCATAATGTTAGCCTATTTATTTATTAAATTATTTTCCTCTACGAATTTTGAAAGTTGTTTATGCATAACTTGCTCAAAAGTTTTTGATCTCAGATACAAATCTGAATATGGCATCTACAGTGCTTTTACCCTTCCTAAATCCATACTGATTCATATTAAAGAGTTTACATTTATCAAAGTAATCATACAACCTATTACATTAAAAACAATCTTAAAAAAGTTTTGAGGATATCGGCAGTAATGAAATGGGCCTATAATTAGTTCCTAGTTCTTTTGGATTGCCTGTTACTGAGCGGAGCGAGCGAAGCTCTTATACGTCGACTCTTATGCATTTCGTAATACGCAAACTCCTCCTAGACGGATGAATCAATCGTTTCCAAATTTTGCATGGTGATAAAGACCATATCGAGGAGTGCCAACATCTATATGGCGTTAAAAATGTCTCTCAGGAATCCGCCCCACTGGGTCTCAAAGTTTCAATGTAATCCTTATGGAAGCAGTATTTGACACATAAACAAAGACATATGATCAGCGGTTGACTTTTGAATGCAGTAGATAAAGAAATAGCTGATAGCATTATTCCACAGATATTGGAACAGAAACAGTATGGATCATAAATATAATCAAATGACGACACTAGCTTGAGGTCCGTGACGTAGGAAGTGGTGAAGGAAGTAGTAAAGGCAAGCAGTCCGGACTGTGGGAACTGTTTGTGCGATTAGATTAAGGTATCTGCAATCCTAAAATGCTATGGGAAGGGAGGAAAACAGGCCCGCGATGTAGGAAGTGGTGAAAGAAGTAGCCAAGGCGAGCTGTCCGCAGTGTGGAACAAGGTATCTACAATCCTAAAATGATATGGAAGGGAGGGAAACAGGTCCGTGACGTAGGAAGTGGTGAAGGAAGTAGTAAAGGAGAGCAGTCCGGAGTGTGGGAACTGTTTATGACAATTAGATTAAGGTATCTGCAATCCTAAAATGCTATGGGAAGGGAGGGAAACAGGTCCGTGACGTAGGAAGTGGTGAAGGAAGTAGTCAAGGCGAGCTGTCCGGAGTGTGGGTACTTACTACTAAAAGTAATAAATTGAAATAAACACAACCCTTGGATCCCAACTTATGAATAGGTTGGTAAGGTCTTGAACCAGTATGTTTGTACCGTTTACTTTTTTTTTTAAGTTGTGTACATTAAGGTATCTACAATCTTAAAATTCTATGGGAAGAGAGGAAAACAGGTCCGCGACGTAAGAAGAGGTGAAGGAAGTAGTAAGGTGAGCAGTGTGGAGTGTGGGAACTGGAAACCGTTTGTAGCAGTTAGATTAATGTATCTGCAATGCTGAAATGCTATGAGAAGGGATGGAAGCATCCCCACAACATAGAAAATGGTGAAAGTAGTAAAAGCTAGCAGTGCGGAGTGTGGGGAATGTTTGTGGCAATTAGATTAACGTATCTAAAATACCAAAATGCTATGGAAAGTGATGAAAATAGGTCCACGATGTAGGAAGTGGCTTAGGAAGTAGTAAAGTATGAGCATAGTGTGAGAACCGTCTGTAGCAGTTAGATTAATGTATCTTTAATCCTAAAATGCTTTGAGAAGGAAAGGAAACAGGCCCCACGACATAGGAAGTGATGAAGGAAGTAGTAAAGGCTGGCAATGCAGAGTGGGGGAACCGTTTGGGCAGTTAGATAAATGTATTTAATACTTAAATGCTATGAGAAGGGAAGGAAACAGGCCCCACGATGTAGGAAATGGTGAAAGAAGTAGTAAGGCTTGCAGTGCAGAGTGTGGGAACTGTCTTTGGAGATTACATTAATGTATCTGCAATCCTAAAATGCTATGGGAAGAGAGGGAAACATGTCCACGACGTAGGGAGTGGTGAAGCAAGTACTAAAGGTGAGCAGTTTTGAGTGTGGGAATGGATTAATGTATCTGCAATGCTAAAATGCTATGGGAAGAGACTGTAGACTGTAGGTTAAAATGATTACGAAGCATGAATCGATACATATTTCGATACATACAATCGTTTACAATATAAATTTACAACTGAATTGACATCAGCTGATTTTTACTCCATAGAGGCTAAAAACTATTTTTACTCCCTAAAGAGTAAAAATGCTACTTTAGACCCGCAACGCATGTATTAAAAACGACTGTTTTTACTGCAGTATGACAAAAAAATAATAATATGAACCCTTGATGACTCCGCTCAATTTTGTGGGGATGCCTCTGCGAACGCCACCTAGTTATTTAACTGGTAGGCACGTTTGAGACCTTAGTACATCCTGAAACACACCTGTATAAAGTGCAGTGTGTTGATTAAATGAGCAAGTGGGATTGAAATAAAAGATGAACATTGTTTTCAGATGAAGGGTGATACCGGTAACTTATTTTACCTAACTCGCCATGTTAAACTTCCCTATCCCAAGCGTGATGTACACAACTTCCTTACTTCTCGAGTGATGTTAAGTTGAAAAAATCTCACTCGGTGATGTAATGAAACCCATTTAAATAACATTGAGTGCTTAACTTAAAAAAATATACCTCTATGGAGGCATCGACGTTCAACGCTAGAAATCAGCTGTGCGCTTGAATGTTATTGTTATGCTATAAAGTATTTTCCTAACCTAGCTTTTGTTTCTAAAAGAACGTTACTGTTAGACGATGAATGAAATGGATAATGAAAAATATTGGTACGTAAACCCATGTAGGCCTATATTGTCGGGTCAGGTAAAATCTTGTACGTTACACGTTGCGTAAGAGTGTGTTTACATCTCTTAGGTGAATTATGCAACTCGCTTCCGCTCGTTGCACAACATTCACCTGCGTGATGTAAATAGCTATTATCCCATCCACATTTGGAAGGTTTTAAGTCCTTAATTATTATTTGCTGAATTTCTTGAGGATCTGTAGTTTTCAAAAATATTAAGATGGAATTAGGTTGGACCCCTTTTTGTAAAAATGTTATTGAGCTCTCAGGATCAGAATTAACATTTAGAAGTTTGCAAGTTTCTGTAAAGAATTTGTTAACATAATTTATAACTGATTTTTTATGTTTGCGGATTCAGATAAAAATGGAAATTTATCCATTTTACTGCCAGAATAGGCCTATTTGTTTCTGTTTTTACAATTTGCCAAACAGTGTTAGTCTTGTTAATCAATTGTTTAATTTTATTTTTCAATCGATAACTTAGGCCTATTTACTATTATTATACTAGTTTCAATCGATATTAGCATAGCCCAGTTAAGAAACTGTACCCGTTTAGTAAGTTTATATAGGCTAACTTAATTTACTTAGTACAAGACGGGTCAGTAACTAAGGCCTAGCCTACCCTAGAAAACTTTTCTAAATCCCAACAAAGAACCTTGGAATATCATGCATTGTACATACCATTTTTCAGTTGTAAGTTTCTGAGATTGATACAAATTATTCCTTTAATGCGCTAGGCCTATGACTCCACGAAATGTACAATCTTGCCAAAAGTCCTTTGCAAAGCAAATAAACTAATACTCAGTACATTTTAATTTTCTATTGGGCCTTGGTTTCTAACTTTTTCAGCATTTCAACAATCTTAGCAATAATTAATTGACAACAACGTTAATAAAAATATTCTGTATGCCTATTTAAAAGGTCGTAACAAAACAAGTGATTTGTAAAGATATAACGCTATAAGTTAAATTAAGTTAACCTCAAATTAAAAGGAGAGGGTTGGGTTTTTAGCACTTTAGTTTGGAGATCTCTGGAACTGACAGTTTGAGTTTGACATTTGACATGACATTTTTCATTTTACGCGTCGTCGTCGCCCAATCCAAATCCATCCAATACCAGTATCACCCAGACTCACGAGTCGGAGTCACGAGCCATAAGATTATATCATTATAAGATTATATTCGATTATAAGAAGAGAAACGGTTGGCAAGGATATAAAACAAATCTAAATGACGTCACTGACAAAAATGCCAATACAACACTGGTTTGCCAGTTATTTTTAAATATTAACTAGCTGGCCCGACAGACGTCGTCCTGTCCTATTGTGAATGTGGTTTTATGTCACATGCTCGTTCATTTTCAAGATGAGCTCGTTCGCATGGCTCAATCACGTCCTGGTTGAAGTTCGTTCGCTACGCTCACTCACCTTTAGGTTGGAGCTCGTTCGCTGCGCTCACTTGCCTTCAGGTTAGCTCGTTCGCTACGCTAACTCGCCTCCAAGTTGAAGTTCGTTCGCTACGCTCACTCACCTTTTGGTTGCAAATTAGCTGTTCTCATAAATTAAAAAAAATATAGTGCTGCACCCTGAGCTAACCTGAAGGCAAGTGAGCGCAGCGAACGAGCTCCAACCTAAAGGTGAGTGAGCGTAGCGAACGAACTTCAACCAGGACGTTATTGAGCCATGCGAACGAGCTCATCTTGAAAATGAACGAGCATGTGACATAAAACCACAATAGGACAGGACGACGTCTGTCGGGCCAGCTAGTTCCATTTAAATATGAGTACTCGTAAGGTTAACATGGGAAACTCCATGCAGAGCCACTGGGGCGGAGCCCTATTGACGGATCTGCACCAAACTTCACACAAACCATCCTTGAATAATGCTTAATAATGCCTAAAAGTTTCATTACAATCCGTCGAGCGGTTTCGGAGTCCATAAAGGACAAACATACAAATATACAAAACATACATTGGATTTTATATATAAATAGAAGATGATATCCTCATTTTCATAAACAACCTACCAAGTGTGAAGAAGGCAAATATATGCTTATTTGCCGACGACACCTCCCTCACTATCTCCAATCCCAGTATGGAGGTGTTAGAACAAATCGCTTTTATCGAATCAAACTGTCTTCTTGAATGGTGCGAAAAGAATCATCTATTCCTAAATCCTGAGAAAACCCAACTTCTGCAATTTCAAATTTATAATAGACGATCCCAGAAAAATCACAGTCTTAAATGTCCTGTTAGACGAAACCATAATCTGTTTCTCCCCAAATGTGAATTTCCTTGGAGTCCTCCTTGATGAAAATCTCAGATTTCATCAACATATTGAGCAGGTAGTAAAAAGGGTTTCGGTAGATATTTTCATGCTTCGAATGCTCCGACAAACAGCCAACTCCGATGTTCTCCTGTCTGCATACTACGGGCTCATATATCCCTATCTGACATACGCCATTCCTGTATGGGGTTGTGAAACTCAAAGAACACTGTTTTTGTTCAGACTCCAGAGGAAGGCGATCCGTATTGTGTTCTCCCTTCCAAAACGTCACTCCTGCAAAGAAATATTCAGATCATTCAGAATCCTTACCTTTTCATCCATCTATATTCTGGAAACGTTGTCATTCGCTAAGAAAAACATATCATCTTTCACCACTACAGTCAACCACAGATAAGAGCTTTCCGGAACACTTCAAACCTTGCCATTCCCCGTCATTCAACTGCATTTTTCCAGAGGCACTTTCACAATGCTGTGAAACTCTTCAATAACCTCCCTTTCCCATTACAGGCTGAACAGGACGTGGGTAAATTCAGAAGGGAGTTAAAGTCCATCCTGTTAGATAAGGCAGTATACAGCGTCCGTGAAAACTCTGGTAGACTTTTACTTGTTGGCACTTGTTGAATTAACTTGAGTTAACTTAGTTGAGTGGTTGCTTGTAAGTACTTTAGTTGTTTTCACTCTAAGATAATCAATATGTTTTATCAATTAAGATTACCTAATTTGACTTGGCTAATGCATATTGTATATGTTTATCTGGCCTAATAAAATGACTTATTGACTTATTATCATGTTTATTTTCAAGCCAGTGACATAATTTGTTTATGTTTTTGATTTATGCCGTTTATATTCTAATATTCGTGACCCATCTGAACTGACTGAGCTAAAAATAGATACAACTGGTTGGGCCCTGGAAAAGGTGGCCGTGCCTGGAGGAAGCAATGGAATGGCCACAATAATTGGCCAAGTCACTTAAACGGAGATGCATTTCTGAGTGTGTGTGTGTGTTTGAGTTTTTATCATGGCAATGCCCATTCCAGCATACTGTTCAACGGCTGCTTTATTCAAGGTAGGTAAAGGTATCAAAGACTTCCTAACTCTCGCCTAGTACCACGGCCGCCTTAAGTGGCCGTGCTAGTACACGCGTGCGTCTCATCTTACCCGGCACTGTATGAAACATGGCGGCACAGGGTTCTGCCGTGTGCTGCGTTACGAGTTGCACCACTTGCATCTCAACTCTCAACATACTCCCGACCCGGCCTCAAAGCAAAGTTGCTCTGAAAGCCAACTGGAAAAGAAACTACTGTTCTTCTCAATCTCAATACTCGTGTAGAGACCATTGCATTAATAAACCTGCTTTCGGGGTCAACTAAATGAATCTTAAATAATAAATAAATAATTATTTTGTAAAACCGGATAACTGCTTTATGACAAAAGGTAGACGTTCGATAGCAACAAGACCACGATATGAGCTTCTTCCTATGTAAAATATGTTGACATGATGATATCATCGTGATAATTACGAGAAATTATCACAATGATTTACAAGATCATACTGTATGATGATACACATTTTTTGGCAAAACCGGAAAATTGTAAAATTGAATAATGAGGCATTTATAATTTTATTTTATGAACAGAACTATTTTTGCGATTAGTAAATTTTCATTGCCAAAGTGCTCTCTACTACAGCGCTGTTCACGAAGGAATTTTAAACTAATGCCTCATTCGTACCTCCCCTAAGTCAGACCATAGATAAAACCATAGACTAACCAGGGAGTATGTTTTATCTATGATAAAACATACTCCTGTCAGACCATAGACAAAAAGAATTAAATATTCTATTTAATTCTTTTTGTCTATGGTCAGACCCAGTTATTTTTATATCTTGGTGGCTGTGCTGCATAGTGATATTCCTTGCCTACCGGGTGCCATCTGCCTTCCAAAAACGCCTAACCAGTCGCCATGCGCATATCGGCATCTCCATCTCCCTGACTCCTCTCCTCTCCTCCTCGCTGCCGTTGAAGTCAAGTAAGGTAGAGGAGAGTCGAATCGAAGTTGTAGTAGCGAATTGAAACTAGTGTAGTGTAGTGATCTTGATTTTCCGGCATTTCAATTCTTGATCGCGAACCTCGTGGCTTATCAAGGTGCAGTCCTTTCCTTAATTTATATTTTAAAATTTAATTTTAAGAAAAATATAACTGTCAAAATAAGTTAGTGCTCGAAGAAGTGGGGTGACCCATCTCCGCTGAAGGTATTTATCTTTGAAATGGCAAAGCGGTTCAAGTTAGTAAGTTAATTAGGCTAAAATTGCTTAACTTTTTAAGCTAGGCATTCAATTGGACCAATATTATGAAGTTCTGTCACTAATTTGAATTTTCAACGAAATTCATTAACATGTCTCCTGCTAGGCTGTCACACAGCTCTTAACTTAAAAATAAACCTAACATACCAGGCAAAAGAAACTTATCATGTGTCTTAAGTTAGTTTTTGATGGCTTCAGACTTAGTTACCTGGTTGGTTTTCACCACCTTGGAGTAAACTTAGGCCTAGGAATTCCCAACTGAAACGTGGGACAACCTTCTATGATAGGCCTAGGCTATGCACAAATTTCAATTAATAAAGATAAAGGAAATTATTTTACCCTCCGAGTGTTATTTGTCGCTGCAGCGACACATAACACACTTTGTGTTGTGTTTTGTGTCGCTGCAGCGACTCACAAACACTGTTTACGGCGAAGGCTCTATGACTGACAAAATCGGATTGAACTGGGGTACAGTTTCTTAACTGGGCTAAGTTATGCTAATGTCGATTGAAACTATCGAATTGAAAATATTGATTAATAATCGATATTTTTAAATATCTTTATTATCAAATTAAACTATCTTAACCTAACCTAACCAACCAAACTTGCTGATGGTGAAAAAATCGCATGAAGGTTTACTAATCGAATCGATAGTTTCAATCGATATTAGCGTAAGTAGCCCAGTTAAGAAACTGTACCCTTGAACTGGATCGAGTTAGGTATTGTTTTATTTGACAGATTCAGAGCTTTCTCCGGAGGTCTGTCTCTAAGCGCTAGGCTATATTCATTTTAGTTCCGAAAATATTGTAGCAGACAGCTGACGTGCGTATTTGTAAACAGCTTGGTTATAACCTCGGACCGATGACTGATGTGTTTTATTACGTTTATCATTGTTTTAGTGTTAAAAATCAAAAGTAGTGATATACTTACGTGGTGCATTAGCCTATAAGAAGATTTAAGTGATTTTGAAGGGCTGGTTGATGATCCTGAAGAAGTAGGTAGTGATATTGATGTAAATTATCAGCCAGATTCCTAGCTATGGTTAGGCTACGCATTCTTAGCTAAACTCTAGGCCTATGTACTGAAATCTGTTTTTTGCCCATAGGGTAACTTATTTATTTGCAAATCTACTTCCTTATATTATTATATATTTGTAATCCTCATACAATTTAGAACAAAGTGGCTATTTTCAAATATTTATAGGCCTATAATTTATACAATTTCATTGAGCGCAAACCTTTTTTTTTGAAAATTTTCCAAAATTTATTTTTTTTACCTAAAAAATTTTTTTCAACCAAATGTTCCTTATCTTCTATGTATAAAATTGAAGCCCATGATTTTCCAAACAAAATGGTAGGGCCTATATAGAACAGTATAATTAACAACTTGTGTGAACCTGGCAATAACTTGGCAATAAGTAGTGCGCGCGCCACAAAAAATCTATTGCTGGCCGTTTTTCGGCAAAATACGTCCGCGATGCATATTACCGATGATACCAACAGATAGAGGACACTTTAACGGACACGACAGTATCAACATTATGTACCTGGGGAGTAGTATAAGGGGGGTAAAATCAGCAAAAAGTAGTGCGCGCGCTACAAAAAATCTATTGCTGGCCGCTTTGCGGCAAAATACGTCCGCGATGCGTATTACCGATGATGCCAACAGATAGAGGACACTTTAACGGACACGACAGTATCAACATTATGTACCTGGGGAGTAGTATAAGGGGGGTAAAATCGGCAAAAAGTAGTGCGCACGCTACAAAAAATCTATTGCTGGCCGTATTGCGGCAAAATACGTCCGCGATGCATATTTATTTATTTATTTATTGAGTTACATGTCATTACATTATAATAACAGGACATATTGTCAATGGTTAAATAAAGACTTAAAACTAATAGATAAAACTAATACATCTGTATTTACATAAAACAACTGAATCTTCCCAAAATACAACATTTTTACATGACAAAAAAATTGAGCCAGCAGGAGTGTGAAGGTTTACTTATACCTAATTCCAGCAGTCCTTAAAATAATCTGCCAATGAAAAAAAAGATTTAGTCTTGAGCCATTCTTTTAAATAAAGTCTAAACTTATAGGGAGTTTCTAGAGTAGTTAAACTTGTTGGTAAGTTATTTAAGATTTTTGGACCAATGTATTGTGGTGATGACTCGAATATTTGTAAATTATGAGCTACAGGTTTGATAATATTCTTTTTTCTTGTATTGTAATTATGTTGAGTTTGGGTCTCCATAAAACCAAATTAACACATATTACCGATTATCGGCAAAGCGCCAGCAATAGATTTTTTGTAGCGCGCGCACTAGTTTTTGCCGATTTTACCCCCCTTATCCTACTCCCCAGGTACATAATGTTGATACTGTCGTGTCCGTTAAAGTGTCCTCTATCTGTTGGCATAATCGGTAATATGCATCGCGGACGTATTTTGCCGTAATACGGCCAGCAATAGATTTTTTGTAGCGCGCGCACTACCGTAAAATGGGGTGAATAGAAACAACAGGGTGAATAGAAACAAAACTTCAATGAATGATTCACATTTTTATAACTTTGTTATACATTGACTTTATATAAGGGAATTATTTTCCCCCATTATAACCATATCCTATCTACCTGGGAAAAATTAGTTTAGCATATTGGTATCACTGCTTCGGATGTTGGATGATGAGAAACATAATTTGAAAATTTTGGCGAAAAACATTCTTTTCAAAACTTTCTCTCTAAGTATGAACCTATTACATGTATTTATGTTAATAACCATTTTTTATATTGTCTTAGGTATCTTAAAACCAAGTGTGTTAATAGATTAGCCTTAGAATAAACTATATTTTTTTACTTTATTTTTAATTTAGGTTATGTCATGATTTTGCAAAACCAGGGTGAATAGAAACACTTTTTTTAACCTGTGGTGCCCAGAAAACCCCCCAAAAAAGAAAAAAAAATACCAGAGATGAAGATGATTCTACATCAGTCACACTGGAAGAAAGTGACAAAGACGAACAATTTGATGAAGAAGAACCAGCATACCTAGCTCAAGACATCAGTGAGTCTTCAAAGTTGTCCCTTCATGATCATGTAATTGTCAAAGTAATGGGGAAAAACAAAACTTGCTATCGTTTATATGTTGCGAAAGTTATTGAATTTGACGAGGAAGGTTAAATAGGAAGATTCATCAAGAAAATTGCGCAAACCAACAAGTTCTGAGAGACAGATTAAGAGGCCCTCTTCAAAGTCGATGACGTAGTACGATCGGCTTCCAACTCCCAAGCCGTGTACAACTTGTAGATTTAAGGGAGTGTTGTATTTTGAGGAAGATTTGTCTGATTTTACTCTTCATTTAGTTGGTTTCTATGTAAGATTTTGTTATTCTGATTTCACCCATTGTCATTTATGTTCTCCGATTTGTTTGGATAAGGGTTTATGAAAACGACGTTTTCATACTTCGTACTTATAAATAAATGTGTTAATTAACTTTAAATGTTTTTATTTACAACAACCTAAGCTAACAAGCATAAATTTCATGTTTCTATTGCCCCTGGTAAGTGAGGAAAAGCAACAATCATCAATTTAACACAGTGTTTCTATTCACCCCAAAGTGCGGGGTGAATAGAAACAGCCATATTTTATTTTTTTTCTGCTTAATGATTAAAAAGAAAAAAAATTTGAAAACTGGTATGAGTAGAGGAGTTCAAGACCGAAAATATGAGCTAGTGTTGAAAATTTAAAAATTAAAAATATCGGTTTTACAGAAGCTTAAAAGTCAAAAAGTGTTTCTATTCACCCCATTCTACGGTACTTATTGCTCATTTTACCCCCCTTAACCTACTCCCCAGGTACATAATGTTGATACTGTCGTGTCCGTTAAAGTGTCCTCTATCTGTTGGCATCATCGGTAATATGCATCGCGGACGTATTTTGCCGCAATACGGCCAGCAATAGATTTTTTGTAGCGCGCTCACTACTTTTTGCCGATTTTACCCCCCTTAAATACTACTCCCCAGGTACATAATGTTGATACTGTCGTGTCCGTTAAAGTGTCCTCTATCTGTTGGCATCATCGGTAATATGCATCGCGGACGTATTTTGCCGCAATACGGCCAGCAATAGATTTTTTGTAGCGCACGCACTACTTTTTGCCGATTTTACCCCCCTTATACTACTCCCCAGGTACATAATGTTGATACTGTCGTGTCCGTTAAAGTGTCCTCTATCTGTTGGCATCATCGGTAATATGCATCGCGGACGTATTTTGCCGCAATACGGCCAGCAATAGATTTTTTGTAGCGCGCGCACTACTTTTTGCCGATTTTACCCCCCTTATACTACTCCCCAGGTACATAATGTTGATACTGTCGTGACCGTTAAAGTGTCCTCTATCTGTTGGCATCATCGGTAATATGCATCGCGGACGTATTTTGCCGCAATACGGCCAGCAATAGAATTTTTGAAGCGCGCGCACTACTTTTTGCCGATTTTACCCCCCTTATACTACTCCCCAGGTACATAATGTTGATACTGTCGTGTCCGTTAAAGTGTCCTCTATCTGTTGGCATTATCGGTAATATGCATCGCGGACGTATTTTGCCGCAATACGGCCAGCAATAGATTTTTTGTAGCGCACGCACTACTTTTTGCCGATTTTACCCCCCTTATACTACTCCCCAGGTACATAATGTTGATACTGTCGTGTCCGTTAAAGTGTCCTCTATCTGTTGGCATAATCGGTAATATGCATCGCGGACGTATTTTGCCGTAATACGGCCAGCAATAGATTTTTTGTAGCGCGCGCACTACTTATTGCTCATTTTACCCCCCTTAACCTACTCCCCAGGTACATAATGTTGATACTGTCGTGTCCGTTAAAGTGTCCTCTATCTGTTGGCATAATCCGTAATATGCATCGCGGACGTATTTTGCCGCAAAGCGGC